ACTGACAGGCCTGCGACCATGGAGGTGGAGAGCCAGCAGATCCAACATGGCTGCCACGGCGGCCCCGCCAAAGGGGAGACGTCTGAGACCGAGGACGTCCAGGTGGGACACGGTCCCTGACACAGACGTCAGGTCCTTCGTTAGTTCATCATAGAGGACGGACAGTTCATTAAATCAATCAATAATCAATAATCAATAATCAATAATAATGATGATGATGATGATGATGATGATGATGATGATGTCATCATCGTTTCTCTGTCGTCACTGGTCTGACAGAAATGATAAAACAGAAAAAGGTTCATTTCTTCATCTTTAAATCCGTCAGTCTCCGTTGACGTCCGTCTGACCATCGTCCACAGGAGATCCGCTACCTGGACCAGGTGCTGGACGCGGCCTCGGACACGCCCATAAATGGAAGCGCCTGTCCGTCAGAACACACCGTCGATCACCAGAACCACGCCGCTGCAGGTCAGAGACAACCCGCGGCTCCCCTCCCCCAGGATGACCCCGAGGTCAGGACCAACGGACACGTCCACGCACCAGAGACCGACGGCGGCGGCGGCGGCGGCGGCGGCGGCAGAGCCCAGTTTGAGCTGAGAGCCTTTCAGGAGGAGCGGCGTCCGGCAAAACTGTTCTCCCCTGGAGAGGAGCAGCAGGTCAGGGTGACCAGGAGACGACCGTCAGAGGAGGTGACAGCAACACAGACAGAAGGAGGAAGAAAACGAATATGACCAGTACACACACACACACACACACCCCCACACACACACACACCCACACACACACACACGTATATATATATATCTTAGGGATGCACTGAAACTGAAAACTGAAAACTGAAAACTGAAAGAAATGTTTCGGCCAATCGTAGCTCCACGTCATTAACGACTCTGACTGTGAATCAAACCTCAGTAACATGAAGGCGCTGTGATTCAGTGAAGGGTCCCCGCCCCTCATCTTGAACACCGCCCTCCTCCTCCACGTCCATCGCGGCCCAGAACGATGAAGTTCAGAGGATCAAACGTTGACAGGAAACAGAAAAACGACTGAAAATGTTTTGGTCTAAAAGTTTGGTGCATCCCTAATATATGTTATACATATATGTTTATATGTGTATATATATATAAATATATATGTCGTGCTGTTGAATTCTCTGAGGGATGAGGGCGTCACGATGTCAAAGTAGGAAACAAATCAGTGAAAGAAGAAGTTTCAAAGGAAATTACTTTAAAAATGAAGTCGTTTTGTAACGTGTGACACAACCGTCCTGACCCTGAGGTCAGCTGAGGTCAGCTGAGGTCAGCTGAGGTCACGGTTCTATCTCAGAGTCATTTTGGGAACTGAGCGTTGACCAACAGACGTTGATGTTATAACAGTGTGTGTCAGTCATCCAGACGACTGACCGTTGGTCTGTGGTCTCCAGGTCCAGGAGTTGGAGCGTGAACGTCAGGAACTGATCAAAGACCAGGCCGTGAAGAAGAACCCTGGTATCGCCCAGCGCTGGTGGAACCCTCCTCAGGAGGTCAGGACTTTTTCAGGAGGTTTTTTTTTTTGGTTCCTCTCCATCAGACTGTCTGACTTTGTCGTTGATTCTCTGAAGGTTCCGTTGGAGGAGCAGCTGGACGTGGAGCAGCTGGAGTCACTGAAGAGATACCAGGAGAGGAAGCAGCAGAAGCAGAGCTACACGTACTCACAGGTGAGGAGGAGGAGGAGGAGGAGGAGGAGGAGGTCCTCAGAGACGTTTTCATGTCACCTCACCTCTGTGTATCTTCAGCCCCAGGTGACGGGTCATCCCACGGTGGTGACCTTTGACCCACTGCTGACCAGGAAGGAGGACATCGAGGAGAAGCAGATCGACTTCTCCGCCGCCAGGAGGCAGTTTCTCCAAGGAGAAGTCGCCAAGAAGGACGTCGCTCCTGAGATCTACTCGGCCAAACCCTTCTCCAAGTCCGCCACCAGGGCGGGGCAGGGCGACGGCGACGGCGACGCGGTGGCGCTCGGTGGGGAGAGTAACGCGACCTGCGCCGACGAAGGAATCGGAGGAGACTTCACGTGTGCGCGAGCCGTGATGACGATCCTGCGAGAAGACGACGAAGGGAAGAATCACTTCAGCCCGCGGTTCCACCCGGAGGAGTCGGACTCCGGCCTGGACGAGCTGTCGCTGCGCTCCCAGGACACCACGCTGTTCAGTCTGGACAACGTCTCCGACAGTGGAGCCTCCCTGCCACTCACCCCCGTGTCTCCTCCCACGCCGCAGCCCACCACGCCGGTCAACGGACGGACCAGCGGCAGCCCCATGGAGGAGGAGCTGGAGTTCCAGGCCGGGGTCCTGGTCCAGAAGGCCATCCAGAGCGCCCTGGCTGCTCAGAACGGGACAGAGTGGCAGCCGTCCGATCTGGACTCTTCTCAGATCAGCACCCCGGTGTCCCCGTCCTCGGCCTCCACCAGTAGTCCACTGCCTGTCTGTCTGTCCCCTGAGTCTCCTGCTGGAGCTCCCGGTCCGTCTGACCCGGCTCCTCCACCTGACCGCAGCTCAGGTGTTTCAGAGTCAGAGTCGGAGTCCAGTCCACCACAGCTGAAGACAGCTTCTCCACCAACGTCTCAGCCGGTCTCACCTCCACAGAGACCCCGACACGGCGGCCCCAGGATCAAGATCCAGTCGTCTTACGCCCGAGCGCTCGCCGCTTCCACGCCAGCTCCGGCCCCTGCTCCAGCTCCGGCCGCAGAAGCTCCGGTCCAGAGGCCGCCCCCGGTGTACCGTCCTCCTTCTCCTCCAAGTCCAGACAAACCAGAGTTCAGCTACTTCAGTAAATACTCCGAGGCGGCGGAGCTGCGCAGCACGGCGGCCGCACCTCGAGCCCCGGAGCCGGAGGCGGCCAGCGGTCCGTTCCGCCTCCGCTCGAGGAAGCAGAGGACTCTGTCGATGATCGAGGAGGAGATCCGAGCGGCTCAGCAGAGGGAGGAGGAGCTGAAGAAACAGAGGGAGACCCAGCCTGTGGTCGCGGCCCGACACAGCAGCAGCAGCAGCAGCAGCAGCAGCAGCAGCAGCAGTAACCACGGACCAGTGAGGACGGGGGTGAGGAAGACCACCATGACTCCAGCAGAGATGAAGATGAAGAGCAACAGTCTGCCAACGAGACTCACCCTGACGGCAAAGACAGCACCAGGTGGGTACCCCTCCACCCCCCCACCGGTCTGTGGTCCAGCCCCCCCAACCCCCCTGTGGCTCCACCTTCATTTCACCTTGTTTCTTCTGTGACTTTGCAGGAAAGATCGAGAAGGTTCGACCTGCACCACCCGTCTCGCCCTCCACCTCTGAGGGAACCCTGTCTGACGCCGGCAGCGAGGACTCCGGCGGGTCGCGACCCAAAAACTTCATGCAGACTCTGATGGAGGACTACGAGAGTCACAAGGTGAAGAGGAAGGAGAAGTTGGAGGACAACAGCGTGAGTATCCACTGTTGAAGAGCCGAGAGAAAAAGGTGAAGTGAAAGTAGAGCCGAGTCTGGATGAGGTCACTTCCTCTAAACAGCTCCAGCTCAGAGAGGCTGCTGTGTCGAGGGTTGAAAACCCCACAGGGAATTTCCCGTCGTGATGTGAAAGTAAAACCTCCGACACTCGGGGGATTTCTCTCCTGATTCTGTTCCACGGCCACAGGGTTTCACTCTGAAACATCTGCTCACTTAATCAGTGCATCAGGTGTTACTGCATGAGCCACTAGGGTGCGCTCTTCACACTAACAGAATACCTCAATTCCTCTAATTTCACTAAGTTAAGTGAAACTCATCTCAACAGGAGATAAATTATATTCACAGATAGAGTCGTGCGGTTGCTAAAGGTTAGCAAGAATGCTATAATTGGCCGATCGGAAACTTAGAATTAGCCTAAAGTTGATAATGTTTACCCATAATATTAGTCAAAAATAGCTTAAAGCAACAATTAAGCTACACTTTGCTAAAGGTTAGCACTGAGCTAGCAGAACGAAGGTAGCCTCAGAGCTAATGTTTTCATTGTTGTTGTTGTTGTTGTTGTTGTTGTTGTTGTTGTTTCTCCATGATGACATCACACGTGTTGACCTGTTGTGTGTGTTGTGTTGCTTCTCTCCTGCTGCCGGGTCAGTACACACACTTGTTGCTGGCCAGTGAGGTCACCACTGAGGTACCTGTCAGAACCTGGACCCCGTCCACATGTCCCGACTCACAGACCTGGACCAGAACACACAGAACACACACTCACTGTCGCCGCTGACGAGTCAGTGGTAAAAAATAAATAGAAATATTTACGTTAATGTTAACGTTAGCGTTAATGTTAGCATTAGCATTAGCGTCTGCTCCGTCACTTCTGGAGGATTTGAAAACACGGACAGGAGTGTGGACTGAACTGGTCCCAGGTCTGGTCAGGGTCTCACTGCTGTGGTGTTGTGTGTGTGTGTGTGTGTGAGGGCGGGGGGGGAATCATGAGTTAAAAAGTGGTTCTCAAATAGTGGCTCATGACCCAGAAGTGGCTCCGTTTGGAAACTTGTATAATTACTTTGACTCAAATTATGTTTCAGCCAATCAGTGACCAGTCTAGACTGAACACAGACCTATGTTGACTATGGTAGTTAAGCAATACATCCACAAGGGGGCAGTGCTGAGTTCAAAGCTTATTACCGGCCGAGGTAAAGAACCGCTGTTTGAGAACCACTGCAGTTATGTGCTGTGATTTAATTGAGTTGCAGTGTTTTTAACGGCCACATGGGGGCGGGTGAGCTTTGTTTTCACTGGTTAATTATTAAAAATCATGGGTTGTTTTTTTTTTATGGTTGAACCAGAATCTTCTTCTTCAGTCTCTGACACCCTGCATGTTAGGATGAAGTCACTGTGGGTTTTTGTTCTGATGATTCTCACTGGGAAAATCCTGGATTTCATCACTGGAAAAAAACAAACGCTCTGATTGGCTGGTTTTTACTCCTCAGGTTCTGGAGGCAACACGGATGACCAGGAGGAAAAGTAACATGGCTCTGAAGTGGGAAGCTGGAATCTACGCCAACGAGGATGGAGAAGGAGAAGGAGAAGGAGAAGAAGGAGGAGAGGAGGAGGAAGAGGAGGAAGAGGAGGAGGAAGAGTAAAGAACTTATGACAAGATGGAAGGAGGAGGAAGAGACTGAAGGAAAAGGACCAGTGAGGGAGGGAGGAACCAGTATTTATTACTAATAGTATTCTGATCACATGACCAGGGGAGGTTTTTGGAACGTGAGGATTGAAGAACATTTTTATACGGACTTTAAAAATCTGGAGAGAAGAAGGAAAAAAACAAAGCTGTATCTGAGGAGGAGGTCGTTCTCACGGTTTTGGTGGATCGTCGTTCTAGAACGTCGTGTTAGAACGTCGTTCTAGAACGTCGT